CTAAGACAAACAAGTTTGTTTACATTTACAGGAGATAATGCTGCCTGCTTCTTGTTTACAATGTCACCTGAAAGTGAGAACAGGCGTTCTCATGGCACTTTTGTAGCCAGTGTTGCAAGGTATTTACATGCCAGATACGCTAAACATTTGTATGCCCCTTCATGCTTCGGCCACCATTCCAGAGGACATGCTTCAATGCTGATGATGCTCATTAAAAAAATGATGCATTAATTAAATTTATGACTGAACTCCTTGGCGGAAAATTGTATGTCTCCGGCTCTATTTTACCCACATTCTGCCATATATGTCATGTTATAGTCTCGACTCAGCACATGTTGTTCATTTTAAGAACACTTTCACTACAGATTTGACAAAACACAAAGAAGGTACCAATGTGAGATTTCTAAAGATAGCGACAGCACTTGACCCAAGGTTTAAGATTCTTAAATGCCTTCCAAAATCTGAGAGGGACAAGGTGTGGAGCATGCTTTCAGAAGTCTTAAAAGAGCAACATTTCAATGCGGAAACTACAGAACGTGAACCAAAAAAAATCAACCTTCTGCTGGTGGCATCTGACTCAGATGATGAAAATGAACATGTGTCGGTCTGCATTCCTTTGGGTTGTTATCGAGCAAAACCCGTCAACAGCATGGACACATGACTCCTGGAATGGTGGTTGAAGCATGAAGGGATATATGAATTTTTAGCGCATCTGGCATGTAAATATCTTGCGACACCGGCTACAAAAGTGCCATGAGAACGCCTGTTCTCAGTTTCAGGTAATATTGTGAACAAGAAGCAGGCAGCATTATCTCCCGTAAATGTAAACAAACTTGTTTGTCTGAGCGATCTGCTGAACAGAACTAGGACTGAGTGGGCTTGTAGGCTCTAAAGTTTTACATTGTTTTATTTTTGAATGCAGTTATTTTTTTGGTATATAATTCTACATTTGTAAATTCAACGTTCATGATAAAGAGATTGCACTACAGTACTTGCATTAGGTGAACTGAAAAAATACTATTTCTTTTTTTTTTTACAGTGCAAATATCTGTAATCAAAAATAAATATAAAGTGAGCACTGTACACTTTGTATTCTGTGTTATAATTGAAATCAATATATTTGAAAATGTAGAAAATATCCATAAAGATTTAAATAAATAGTATTCTATTATTGTTTAACCGAGCCATTAATCGCAATTAGTATTTTTTAATCGCTTGACAGCCCTAGTTTAGACTTTACTGAATGCTTGTGAGCACTGCCTGCCTCAGCGCTCCTCTCCACGTATAGCGCCGCACTAGCACTCAGTGAAGACGTGACCGATGCTGACGGGCCAGCTTCTCCACCTCCCCAGGAGGCGCTGCCTGTGTCCCACCCACATCCTGCTGGCTGCGCCTGGGGTTAGGTCGGTGTAATGATGTTGCTCAGGTGATTTTCCACACCCCTGAGTGCCATAGCTAAGTCTGTAAAAAGCAACAAGGAGTCCTGTGGCACCTTATAGACTAACAGACGTATTGGAACATGAGCTTTTGTGGGTGAATACCCACTTCGTCAAGCCACTTATACCAGCTGTAGCCCACGTTGTAAGGGACTATCTGAGCAGTTGTATTGTGAGCCTCTGTGACTGTGTAAACCACCAGCCAGGAGAGAGACATTACTTAGGGTGTTACGCCCTGCCCAAAAAAGAAAGTGTTACGCCCTGCCCAAAAAGAATAGACCATGGATACCAGATGGACCGTTGAGGGATTGGTACGGTCAACAAGAGGACAAAAGACTTTTGTTGTTATTCTACCTCCTCCCTGTGAAGATGAGTCATGCAAGGGACTCCTCGCGTCAGCTGAGCTTTGCAGCCAAAAGCATGTGGGAAGATGAGACTGAACCCTGTAACAAGATCTGATGAGCTCTATGCTGCTCAGACTCTGGGAGAAAGGTTTCTAAGCATACGCAAGAGATTCCCCAGGGCTTAGGTTGGCTTAGCCCTAAGGACATATGGATCTTGCTGGTTTTAGAATCTTCGATTGCCTTTTGAAACTGAAGATTGTAACTTGTGTGCATCTCTGCTGACCCTGCTTTAACCTTGTAAATAACCCTCTCGTTTCCTTTGCCTGTTTAACAAAGCTTCATATAGCTTATGACAGGATTGGTGACAGGCTCTGCCTTTGGTGTGAGATCTGAGGCGCAACTGACCTGGGGTAAGTGACTGGTCCTTTGGGACTGGCAGCAGCTTGAATATTGCTGTGATTCTTGGTGGAAGGGACCAGCCGTCACAAAGGAGTGCCCAGGGGGACTGTCTGTGACCCCATGGTAAGGCTGTGCTGGTGCCTGAGGAGGTCACACTTGATATTTGGTTGGTGAAATCTAAGCACAGACCTCCCAGCCAGTTTGTGCCCTGGTTCCTAGCAGGCGGCCCTGAGGATGGCATGCACGCTGTGGCGTCACTGCAGGCAGCATCACAGGGAACCCTGCACAATGAGCTGAAGAGGCTCTAACCCTATGAGCAGAGGCTTGCTGAGGAGGGGAGAGCAGCTGCCGTCTCTTGGGGACTGCCCTGCAGGCCAGGCTGTGTTGCTTTGGGCTGTAAGGAACCCAGGCAGTGCTTTCTGCAGCTAGCTGCCCTCTCTGTGCCCAGCTGGGCCTGCTTAGCACCCAGGGCTGGGCCCGACGAGGGGAGCTGCAGCCGTCAGCACTGCCTGCCCACTTACCCGGACCTGCACGCGGGGGTGTTTGCTCAGCAGCACTCCCCAGGCAGAGGCTGACGGGAAGGCCAGCGTCAGAGGCACTGGCTGAGCCAGGTGGTACGAGCTCCGGGGCAAAGTGGAGGCGTTGCGGCTAGGGAAAGGGAGGGACAGGGTTAATACACTGCAGCTGCCCTTGCCCCCTAGGCGCAGAGCTGTTCGGCCCGTTACCTGCTTAGCATCATGCTGGCCACGGGAGAGGTCACTGTTACAGACGACTCCACAGCACAGCTGCCCTCCCAGAGCACCGTCTGTATCGCCGTGAGCGCAGCCATGGTGTTCTCCAGCGCCTCCGTCAGCTGCAGGAGACAGGGCATGTCACCACCGGCCCAATGGGACAGGGGGCTTCTGCTGCTCCCCCAGGGCAGAAGGGCCCCCGAGCGCGGCTTCAAGCTCAGTGAGGGCAGCCTGGCAGCAAGCCCTGGGGCCTAGGGCTGCCTGCAGGGAGGCCAGGGAAGAGGCAATCCTGCCGCGGGGACAGGCCGGAGATGTGCCGAGCCCCAGAGAGGAGTGTAGGCTCCGGCTCGTGCAATGGGGGCGAGGGCTGCCTCAATTAGGGTGGCCAGGTGTCCAGTTTTTGACCAGAAAGTCCAGTTGAAAGGGGACCTGTGCAGTGTCCGGTCAGTACTGCTGACTGGACAGCAAATGTCCAGTTACCGTAGTGACCACAATTGGCCTCTGCCACCAGGAGGGCAGGAGAGCAGCTGCTGCTGAAGGAGGCGGGATCCTGACAGCATACGGCGCTTGAGGAGCCCATCCCAACTTCTCAGCGTCCGGGACCTCAGTTCTCTCCGGCCCCTCGCTCCAGAGACAGACACCCAGGGCCAGCTCCAGGCACCAGCCGAGCAAGCTGGTGCTTGGAGCGGCAGATTGAACGAGGCGGCGTTCTGCCCAATCCTAGGGCGGCACGGCCGCTTTTTTTTTTTGTTCTGCTCCTGCCGCCCTGTAAGGGGAGCGGCGTGGAGGACGGGAGCGCCCTGCAGCAAGCCCGGCAGGGCAGTTCTCGTCCTTCCCTCCCCGCCGACGGGAGCGGCGCAGAGCCCTCCCGGCAGGCGGTGGGAGGGGCCGCATGGCAGCGCCCTGCTGAAGCCCTGGCCGCCCCCCTTCTCGCTCTCCCTGCTCCCTCCTCCTCCCCCCCGCTAGCCGGGGCACATCTGCAGGGCTGGGAGTCCCCCTGCACCCTGGCTCCGGCCGCGCCGCAGTTTTTTTTTTTTTTTTTGCTTGGGGCGGCCAGAAAGCCAGAGCCGGCCCTGCAGACCCCCCTGCCCCGCTGTGCCCCAGTTGGGCAGGCAGGCAGGCTCCGCATCAGCTGCTCCCACCCCGGCTCTGCGGGTGGCAGGTGAGTCCCGGGGAGGGGAGCGTAAGCGACAAGGGGCCTGTAGTGTTCGGTTTTGAAAAAACAAAAAGTTGGCAACCCTACACCCACTGCAGGAGCCAGGCTGAGTTTGGGGTCGCTGGGCCCCAGAGAACCTGAAGAGAGCAGGGACCAGACCCTCCTCCCCTTCCCCAGACCCTGGCCATGCCGGGTGTGCCCTCCGCGCCTCCCCAGGCCGACCCGAGTCCCACCTGGTTCCGGGCCCAGTGCGACGTGGGCGTGCTGCTGTCCATGGCCGTCAGGAGGTGGCTGAAGGACTGGAAGAGCGAGGTGGCGGCGGATGTGCTGGTGTCGGAGCCACTGCTGTTGCTGAGGAGTGGTGCCTGCAGGAGCTGAGTGCTCAGATATAGGAGTGACTCACTGGCCTCTCTCTGGGGATATCAAGCCCTGGAGAGGTCAGTGGGCTGCCAGGCGAGGCAGAGAGGAGCTCACGGTGTGACCTGCCTGGCCTGGGCATTCCCGACGCCTCCCCACGGGCAGCTCTGAGCACCTGGCCCCTGCAGCAGAGTGGTGGGGACAGTGCTCAGCCTGGTCAGTGTGGGGCCGTCGCCCTGCTCAGCTAGGAGACAACGCTGCTCCTAGAGCTGTTCTGGCGCTCAGACAATCCCCAGGGGCCGCAGGCACTGCATGGCAGCCTACCCCTTCCTGGCACCCTTGCCACCTGTCTCTGCTCTTCCCCTCTAGCCGCGCAGCTGCCCAGCCCGCCCTCCGGCTACCTGGGCTGCCTCTGAGAGCAGGCTGGTGCCCTGTGTCAGGCGCTGGAGGGTGTGGCAGGCTCTCTGAAGTGCTGGCAGATGATGGAGAGTTCGGATGGCCTGGTTGAATTGTCTCATTGTTTCCTCCATGGCCTGTGAGGAAGCGAGCGTGTGATCAAAGCTGGCACCAGGAGCCCCCTGCTCTCTGCCAGCGAGGGGACGCAGGCTCTGCCCTTGGGGTGGGACCCTGGGCAAGCTGGGAAGGGAGCTCAGCTCCAGGTCTGCCGCTGCCAACGGCGCTTCATTTAACGCTGACAGCGGGATCAGCGCTGCTTATGTCTGGGTGTCTTGGGAGCAAAGAATGAGCTGAGAAAAGCTGCTACCATGAGCCCAAAACTCAGCTCCATGGTGCCCATGGAGCTCTGGGGCCTGGGAACAGGTGTCACAAGGCATGGGGCAGGCAGCCCCAGGCAGTCCCTGGGCCAGGAGAGGGTGTGAGGGAGGCGGGCTGATCTGTCTGGGGCTGGCTGGACTCTGCAGAGCCCCAGCAGGGCGGGTGGCAGATGCCACCAGGCTCAGCCCATCGGCTAGTGATGCTGCTGGGCAGAGCCAGTGCACTGGGGCCGGATCTCCTTGGTGAGGTGCAGCTGTCCCGGTCAGCGCGTGCAGTGACAGAGCCCGAGAACTGGAATGAGGGGCAGCTCCCAGGCAGCGCGTCTGGGTGTGTCCAGGCTTGTGTTTGAGGTCGGGTTGCCAAGTGTCCAGTTTTCAACCCGAACGCCCGGTCAAAAAGGGACCCTGGCAGCTCCGGTCAGCACTGCCGAACGAACTGTCAAAAGTCCGGTCAGCAGCACAGCGGGGCTAAGGCAGACTCCCTGCCTGCTCTGGATCTGCACAGCTCCCGGAAGCGGCGACATGTCCCTGCAGCCCCTAGGCACAGGGGCCAGGGAACTTCATGTGCTGGCCCCGCCCCAAGCACCGGCTCTGCAGCTCCCATTGGCCAGGCACCACAGCCAATGGGAGCTGCAGGGGTGGCACCTGCGGGCACAGGCAGCACGCACTGTGCAGAGCTGCCTGGCTGTGCCTCCGCCTAGAGGCCGGACATGGCGACCGCTTCCGAGAGCAGCACTGAGCCAGGGCAGGCAGGGAGCCTGCCTTAGCCCCACTGCGTCGCCGCCCAGGAGCCGCCTGAGGTAAGTGCTGCCTGGCTGGGCCTGCAGCCTGCACCCCCTCCCGCACCTCGAACCCCCTGCCCCAGCCCTGAGCCCCCTCCTGCACCACAAACTCCTCATCCATGGCCCCACCCCAGAACCTGCACCCCCAGCTGCAGCCCACATCCCCTCCCACACCCCAACCCCTTGCCCCAGCCCAGTGAAAGTGAGTGAGGTTGGGGCCGGGGAGAGCAAGTGATGGAGGGGCTGGAATGAGTGGGGGTGGGGCCTAAGCAAAGGGGCGGGGCCTCACAGAAGGGGCGGGGCCGGGTGTTTGGTTTTGTGGCAACCCTAGTTTGAGGAGAAGACGACCGGTCCCCTGAGCCTTGTGGCTCTGGGTCCAGCTCAGCTCCATGGGGTTGCCCTGCCCTTGAAGGGACCAGGCCAACGC